AGAAGAGTAATAATGTGTTAGCTATTTTTGCACAGGTTGCTTATGGGTGGTTGTATTAGTGTCAAGTGAAACAGTCAGTTGAAGGCTGGTCTAAAGGCATTAATTAACATGTTCCAAACAAGAGATGTCAAGAGACATTTTAACATATTATTTTTAGGAGAGAGAAGGGCTTTATTTTGTATGTCCTTGGGTTGGGTTGGAATGGGGAATGCATACTCATGAGGACTGCTGATGAGCTAAGGTCCAATTTTAACACTATCTTGGGAAGGAATTTTCCCTGGCCTGCAGCCATGCACAGCCTTGGGACATGTACTCATCAAATCTTCCACAGCAGGCTACAAAGCATCAAGTCAGTGGCATATGGATGTGAGACCTACAAATGAACCCAAGTGCTGCAAGGTGTTGGCACTGGTGATTCTGAAGTTAGCATGGACGCTGAACAATTTGTAAATACTCAGTATCAACACTTGTTTCAAGAGCAGAATTGTTTAAATAATTGTCATTTTTACTTGGTGGCTGAAACAAAGAACAGGGGAAAAGTTTTGTTCAACTCTGTTTTTCATTTAGTGGGGAAAAATTATTTTGGGTTAGTCAAAATTTTGTTCTCAGGTGTTTTTTGTTTCAACTCTGTTTTTTGTTTTTAAAAAGAAAAAACATCAGCTTCCAAACACTACTTTGGTCTTACAAGTGAAACACTTTGAAAAAAATGTAAATGTCATTGGCAATCCCTTGATCTGAGGATGATTTTTACCATGGCTCATTGGTGGGTCTTAAGGTGACTTAAGGGTTCAATCCTTGAGCCACAGACCCATCTGCAGAAGTTATAGGTCTTTCTTCAGGGATGAGTAGTCAGTAGGCTGGGATTCATTTCTCTTTCTTTCCTCTGCTCTCTCTCTTATGCTTTGAGGGTAAGACAACCTTAAAATGGGTGCTACTTGGTTACGGTTATGGTGCCACTGAAGTTGGTTAGCAGCCAGCTCTTCCCAGCTCTTGATTTGGCATCTGTTTTCTTGAGTTATGCCTTTAGTTGTGTGTCCTTGTAGCATGTGCTCTGGCCAGTGCGAGATCTTAGACCATAATTAAGCTGGGACTGGAACATTTGTTTTAGAGAGTCTAGTCAGGCACCTGCATGCAATGTCTGGTCCAGCAAAGTTGGTACCTGAGGATCACCTACTCAGTTCTGGTAACTTTGGCTTCAGCAAGGATGCTAACAGAATCATCACTATACAAGAACATAAAATTGCAAGATCCAACTCTCATAAGCAGGAACACATATATTGACCAGAAACACTGTCAAAATGTTAAATAATCCTCATAATATCTATTTGAAAAAGGCAGAATATATAGTGGTTAAAATTAAGTCCAGGGTTTCACATTGTAGCAAGTCAAAGATGGGACTCAGTTCACTGAGACCTATCATTAAAATGTAACATGCTCTTGGTAGAGCTTAGCAGCAAACCTCTGCTATTTATATACATACAAGAGAATACCCTTATTTTTTTTTCTTTAGTTATTGGTATAGTCATAGAGGGTGGAGTTCTGCTTCCATTTAAATTGCAGCTGTTATCCAGTGCCTGTTTTTGAAGGTAACATCAAACTAGAATAGTCTCCTTTAACTGATTTTTTTGAGGGAGTTGAAGTTTTTCTGCTTCTAGATCTGATCTACTCACAGCTGAGACCACAATGTCTGCTGGACCATCAGCAAGTTATCCTCAGGTAGTTTTTTTTTTTAAGCTCACTAGAAAAATATCCTTTGAAGTAAAGATTGCATTTGTGAGTAGAACATGTGTACTCATTTTTGTGTTTGCTTCAGAGGGAGTTTTTACAAAATGTTAGTTTTTGTTTGATAAAGCCTATATTACATAAGCCTTTTACATAGGCCATGAACTTAATGGAAGTTAGTCAGGTTTGGAATTGTGTTCTTCAGTGAAAGAGGTTATTCTAAGTTTTTGCATGGAAAATGAAGTGTTTTTTGTTCTTTGCAAGCTGCAATTTGATAAATATTGGCAATTTGATTCAAGGAATCTAGTTCTAAGCACTTGGAGGACAATAAGGTGATGATCAAGAATAGTCAACATCAATTCATTAAAAGAAAGGCATGCCTGACCAACCTGTTTTCCTTCTTTCAGTGAGCAGTGACTTTAATATGCACTGATTTTAGCACAGTTTTAGGCACTATTTCCCGTCACATTCTCATTAGTAATCTAAGGAAATACAGTCTAGATGAAAGTATTGTAAGGCGGATACATAACTGGTTGGATCATCATGCTTGGTAAGTAGTCATCAATGGCTAGATGTCAAACGGGGAGGAGATTTTGAATGGGGTCCCCCAGGTAACTGTTCTAGGTCTGGTATTTTTTAGTATCTTCACTAATGATTTGGAAAATGGGATTGAGTGCATCCTTAGCGAATTTGCAAATGACACCAACCTGAATGGAGTTGCAGACGTCGTAGAGGGTAGGATTAGGATCGATAATGACCTTTATAAACTGGAGAACTGGTCCAACATTAGTCAATTAAAATTCAATAAGGCAAAGCCCTGTACAGACCAGAGATAACTGGCTAAGCTCTAGTACTGGAGAAAAGGATCTGGGGGTTACAGTAGAGTGTAAGTGGGAACAGCCTGATCTTGTTTCAAAAAGGTCAATAGTATAGTGGGCGATGTTAATAGAAGTGTCACTTGTAAGTCAAGGGAAGTGATACTTCCACTGTATGGCAATGGTGAGTCCTCTATTTCCAGTTCTGAGCATGGCAATTTAAGACAAACGTGGACAAATACCTTTGAATCTTGGGAAAATTTTAGCCTGCCAAGGGAAACTGGTGACTTGAAGAAAGACTTGGCAAGTCAGAATTACACAATGATGATCTGACATTGAATAAACTCATCATAGCTGTGGTCCAGCTGTATTTCTAAGATACCAGAGTAAGAGTATATTCATCTAAAGAATGTTTAGCATATTGCCTCTTAGGGGAGAGGGGAGAGGGCCTAGTGTAATAGTTATACTACATCCCCTGGCAGGCAAGCAATTTGAGTCTTCTGAGCAGGCGTTGATGGATTTATTTTGAAATTCTTAAGGAGGGCAGAAGTTTTGGGAAGCCATGCACAGTTCTTACAGCAATGCATTAAACAAATGGCATATATTGCTGATGAATTACGTAAATTCTGGAAAAGAAAACCTAAAAGGGAAGGCAACTATGTTCCCTGGAGATGGGGAGCCAGGTAGACAGTACAGAGCCAAGAACACATACTTTAGAGAAGATAATTTCCTTGGATTTCTATGTTCCTGAATAGCCAGGCAGGAACCAGCTTTTAATGTACTTGGCTTTAGATTGTTACTTAGCTCCGCAGCCCAAAGGAACATGTTTGTTGTTGTTTTCATCTGTATTATACTACATACTGTTTGCTTTGATCCACAGCTGCAAGAACTGAGAGTAGCTTTCCCAGGTTGGTGATAGGTTAGAGTAACCTCTTAGTTGATAATGTTACATGTGAGCCCCCCTACCCCTTCAAATATGGCAAAGGACTGGTGGCTGACCCCAGAAATTATTTTTCTAATCCTTTTTAATTGGTAGCAACACACAGACACACCTTCCTAAGTACACATCAGCAAATCAGTTATAGTTATTACAGAAGAACAGGGAATCCTTTTCTTAATCACCAGCACCACCACTCTTTCACAGCCAGGATTTCTCTTTCATTGTTTATGTTGTTCATGCACCTCTGTCAGAATAGAGCTGGCTTTAGCTTTTTTGCAAAATTGGTCAGTAGAACTTTGTTCTTTGAAACTCTTGGGAACAAGTCCAGACTGGAAAGATGTCAATTAAAGAAGAGTTATTTCTCTTAAGTCAGTGGTTCTCAAGCTTTTTGGACTCTAGGCACCTCTTATTGGACTCACTAGTGGAATCCCTCACTAACTTTTGTGAATTGAATGGCACTCGGTTTAAAAAACTAGTTTATATTTTATAGTGGTCACCTCCTTACAGAGGATGGGGTAGGGGATTGGCCAGGTTGGGTCAGGGGAAACCTGAGACTGCACTTGTCTGCTTATCTCCTCACGCCTCTTTGCACCCTTCAAAGGATCCGGTGGCATCTCAGGGGGGAGGCACAGCATTCTGGTTGACAATCACTGCTCCAAATTAATGTAGTTCCTGCGATGAAGGAGGGTATCATATCTCCTTCCTTCCCTTAGCTTGGTTCTGACTTGCTAGTACTTAATACTTTTAAAATCCCTTTCTTATTCCTAATATTTCATGGTCACACAAACAGAGTTTAAAAGTTCACATGCACTTTAGCTTTTTGTGTCTGTGCATTGTATCTTTTAGGAAGCATACCGTGAGTTAGCATAAATACATAGAAGGCATAAGCTCCAGAAGGTTGCTTAGTTTAGTGACTACTATGAATATTTCTAAAGTCATACAGACTTCAATCGAGGAAAGAACTTAAGCTTGTGCTTAGTTTTAAACATCTTGTCATAAGTATCCTTTTTGTGAAGAGTGAAGTTCCCCTTGAACTGTAGGTCAGACTCCAACATAACAGGTTAGGAGATGTAATTAATAAATTTCCCAAATTAAGCTCTAGAGTGAACTTTTTAGCAAGTAAAATTGACTTACCTAGGGAGAATTACTTGAAAATGTTCATGGCTACAGGGTTTGTACCTGTACTGTTTACTTTCAAAATATGACATATTAGCCACCATGAATGGTCACTGGACTTTGTATTTAGCTTTCGTTGAGAAGACATCAGCACTAGCAGCACAATGCTTGGTCATTTGGCTGTAGTGTCACCCTAAATATGAATGCCTGCTCCTTAGTTACTTACTGGCATTTCACATTCTACCCACCTGACATGCAAAGTGGGCATCTTTTCTCTTCCTTGTTTATTTCAGAAAGATTTAGTTGTGTGTTTAACAGTATTGTTTTCCTTTTTCCTACTTTACCACAAAGTATAATGTAAAGTTTGCTACCCAATTCAGTATGAGCATCCTGCATTTGTTTTGCAGGTAGATGCCTTTCCCACTTCTTTGCTTTTTGTGAAAATTGTGAGAGCCAGAAATATGGTCAAAGCAGACCTATGTGAGTACATTTCTTGTTCCATCAGAATCCTTCACTGTTGGGGCTAGTTTCTTTTTAAAGCAAATAATACTCTGGAAAACAAGGGAAGCCGAAGAAAGGTATAGAATTAAAAAAAAAATGGGAGTACCAGATATTACAGATGAATTAAAGTGTTATGAAAGATATGGAGAAGGTATGCAGTACAAGTAAAGGGAGCTGAATGAAGTGTAGAAGAAAGAGAAATAAGGGAGACCCAATAAGGTTAATTAATAGAAAAAAATATAAAAGTCAGGTAGACCTTGTGGCCCCAGTGGTAAGTGTTGAGCACTAACTTCATTGCAAGGTGAAAAACATTAAGTGCATCAGAGGACAGAAGACTCTGCCTACGTGTTTGCTACATACATAATGAATGTGGGTGTTTCTGCATCTAAGGGTGAAGTTGCATGTTTTGTTTAGACCATAATAATGGCACTTAAAATGCATGTGTCTGCATGTTAAAGCTCATTATTAACTTATGCCAAGTATCTCAAACTCATGCTGAGCTTCTTAATGTTCTCCCATTTCAGGTGAGGGTCAACTCTAGGCTGTGCTACTTGGCTCATGTTAGAATAACTTCAGTCTGCTCCACAGGGATAAAATGAACAATCTGTAATCCTCTAGCATCTCAGGATACACTGCTCCCAACTTCACATCCCTTACACAGAGCAGGGATAGAGCCCAGGTGTCCTGGTTCCTAGTGATGACCTTGCTCACCAGTCTCAGCTATACAGGCAAGAAATGGTATTAACCATTAGAGTGCAGACAGAAGTGACATTTTTCATGCAATCTGGCCCCTGAAAGAGCTCTACAACCACATAACACATGTGTTTGGCTTCAGAGTGCTTTTAAAATGGCTGATTGTGCAAAAAGTAACCCTCATTAAATTAAGTAATAAATGAAGGTGCTCTAAATTAGTAGTGCCTGTCACAGGGAGGAGGCTAATTATCCCCTCCCTATGCAGCCAGCCAGGGAGGGAGGGGGAGAGCACGTGCTCCCCTGCCTGCCTGGAAACAGCCATCTCTGAGCTGACTGACATTCCCCCATATGGGGGGAGGGCTTGTGGAGGGTGCCCCCTCTCCACTGGTGCCATGGGGCATTAGGGACAATTTCTGCCCCCCCCCAACTGCAATGCAATTGGTACCTAGCTGCACCCTTGCCCGGAGATGCTGTAACTGACAACCAGCGGCAGATGAACTGCAGGGTGGTATGTGAGCTGCAAGCTTGCAAGGGCCCAGCCAAATTATACCTGCTGGGGTCTGGGGGAGTGCCAGACTGGGTCTATGAAGCCTTGGGGCTCGCAGGCCACCTGCCTAGCCCGCCTGCCACTTTTTGATAGTAGCCTGAGCCGGCACTCTCCACTGGAGACCTGGTTGACCAGCTGGCTGGCTGGCTGGCTGCATCTGTGTAGGTGGGTTGGGGGGAGGGGTGATTGAGCCAGAGATCATGGTGGGGGGCCCTGGCTGGGTCCCTCCCTAGGGAGGGGGGTCCCTGGTGCCCACTGGCACTGGATCTGGGGGCACAGAAGACTCCAGACCACCCCTGCCCACACAGACAGCTGGCCAGGGGCTTCTGGAGCTCTAGATGGCTTACAAGGCAGGCAACTGAGCCCTCATGCACAGGAGCCACGTGTGTTAGATTTTGATGCTGTAGCTTTCAGTGCTTTATGTAAAGTGCAAAAAGTTACAGTGTGATCAAGGTACTCTTACAACTTCTGTAAGTATCCTTAATGAGTGACTGCTTACAGCATGTTCTAACTTTAACACTGCTTAACCTTCTACAGAATTAGTCTGGTCTAAGTGTAACATGTAACTTCACTTGAATTGCAAGTCTAATGGTACTTGAGACTGAAGATTCCTATCAAGGTAAGATTGTAATGCTAGGAACATTATAAGAGGAAGGGAAAGAGAAAGATTTGGGCCTGAAGAAACATACAGTGTGTGTATACACTACAGCTATAAAGTTGCCGTAGTGATGTGTGGAGGTGCCTCAAGCTAGCTTTAAATTAGTTAGATCAGGTTCTGGTTGGAGTCTAATTATGGCAATAGAGACCTCAGCCCAGGCCAATAATTTGCCACAAAGGGTGCGTGTGGGGTAGAAACTGAATTCCTCTAGTAACTCTTGGCAGGTGGCTTGATTTGAGTGACTTAGGTGCTTTATTATTTATTTCAATGCACTGTATGCAATCCCAGGCATTCACTGTGTATTAGCATCCCCTCTTCAAAACTGGAAATTTTCTAGATTTAATTTTATTACATTACGTAGTTTCATTAATTGCTAGAAATATAATTAGTTCATTAGATTCCTGGTTAAAAAGTGTTATAAAATTGAATTAAGGCTTATAGAAAGCAAAGATACTAATTAACCCTAAAACTCCTATATTTTAGTTGTATCTCTTTTCCCTTTTCAACACAATACTTGGTAACTGCATTTTCTTACCTCAACAATGGCTATGCTAATTTAAAATGTGTCTTTTTAGCAGGCACTAGTTCTGGAACACTGATGGCTAACTAGAAAATTGTTTTAAATATGTTATCTTTTTTTTTCTGATATAGTGAGTGCCACTGACTGCTATGTAACCTTGTGGCTGCCAACATCTTCAAAGGAAGAGGCCAAGACCAAAACTATCTTGAATTCTAATGAACCAGAATGGAATGAAACCTTCTGTTTCAGAATCCAGACCCAAGTTAAGGTAGGGAAATTGACTGATCTTAGATCTTCAGGGGTCAGGTGGTTTCTACCCAGGTACTATTTATCTAGATAATGTTGGTAAAAACTTTTTTGACCTACCAGTTGATATCTGAACATGCTTATTTGTTGTTTGGTCAAAGGCATGACTGCATCAATTTAAAAAATTTCTTTGTTGTCCTCCACAGTAATTATCGTTAAATTCAACCCTGCAGAAACCTATCACAAAGAATTTGTCATTTTCAAATGTAATGGAAAACAAAAGCATACTATTATTGAAAATCTCTCATCTCTAGAACATCCTGGAACTGAGAGTCTATGATGAAGATCCACTCACCAAAGATGACCTTCTCTTCACTGTTCTCTTTGATGTGGCTGAAGTCAGACTTGGAGAAAGAGCCTATTCAAGCTTCATTTTGAATTCAGAGGTAGAGACTGAAATTCCAACCAGAAATGCGTAGGGCTATCATTTCTCTACCTCCTTTCCATTCCATGGGTGCCTTTCTTATGGCTATATATGGGAAATATCCACAGAAAAGGACTTTGTGGTAATGATGGGCTTTAATTACCCAGTTATTTGTTGGAAAGCAATAAGAAAGAGAGACAGTTTATTAAGTTATTGGACTGTATCAGGGACAACTTTTTGTTTTGGGAGGTGGAGAAAAGTTTCATAAAAGTAGTTATTTTAGAATTGGTTCTCACTAATAGGAAGGAAGGAATTGAAAATCAAAGTGGGAAAGTCAAGTTTGGTGGGAGGATCATGAAATAAGCAAGTAGCTCCTGAAGCAGCCAACCATGACACACATACTTGCAACCACTGCCACAGATCATGCGGATCTCAAATTGGACTATTCAGTCAAAAGACACTGCAAACCATCTGCTCATAGGCTACAATATCCACCATCTCTTGCAGACAAAAGGATATCAATCAACCAACCAAACGATCATGAAGTACTAGAGTTTATTATTCTGAGGAAAGGAAGGCATGAAAGCAACAGAATAAAGGTAGTAGAATTTAGAAAAGGAAACACTGGAAAACTTGTGAAATTGATGTAAAGAGTCTTGCAAAGATAGTCGAAGGGTAAAGAAGTCTAGGTGATTTGATAGTGGCTGTTAAAGTATATTAAATAATATACATTGGCAAACTGTCTTGATGCAAAGGAAAACTAGAAAACATTGTAACCATGGTAAGAGACCATTATCAAAGCATCAGGAGATCTCTAGTGATCTGAAAATTAAGCAAGAAACAAACAAACAGTGGAAACAGTGTCACATAAGTAAGGATAAAAATAAAGGTATAGTACAAGCATGTCAAATTAAACAGCCTAAAGTACAAAATAAGTTCCAACTGGCAAGAAGCATAAAACAACTTGAAAAGATTCTGTAAGTACAGTGTAATTCAGGAGAATACAAAGGGACATGTAGATACTAGGGCTGTGCGAATCTTCGGTCCCTGATTCGATACGGTGGAGATTCGGCCTGATTCGGTGGCTGAATCTCTGAATCCGAATCCAATCAGGAGACCCTTTAATCTCTCTGAATCGAATTGGAACCCTTTGAATTGATTCAGAAAGATTCAGCGATTTGGACATAGACACAGCTTTAAATGTTTTTTTCTACGTACCTCAAGATACCAGGCGGCTTGTCAACATTGAGATGCTGGGGTGGATGGAACATCCTCCCGGAGCATGGAAGGCTCCCCAGCGTGCTCATTAGTAGACCCAGAAATGGACCAGAAGCACTTCCAGTCCACTTCCGGGTCTGCTGGAGAGCATGCAGGGGGGGCCCCTGCACCCCCTCAGCTTGGCAACTGGTGCCTCCTGGATCTGGGGGGGACACCCAAGGTCCACCGTGGCCAATCACTGAGCCGCGGGGTATAGGAGAGGCTCACCAGCAGACCTAGGAGTGGACTGGAAGTACTTCTGGTCTAGTTCTGGGTTCACTGCCAGGCATGGGGGGGGCCTCTGCACTCCCGTAGGATGCTCCATCTGCCCCAGTATTGCAGTGTTCATGAGCTGTGCCTAGTACCTTGAGGTATGTAGAAAAAACATTTAAAGCTGTGTCTATGTCTGAATCAGCATTGAATATTCAGATTTGGATTCAGCCTAATCGAATCAGGGACAGTGATCCAAATCAACGAATCGAATCACTGTCCCTGATTTGGGCTGAACCCGACTCGAATACAGCCCATTTCACACACCCCTAGCTACGTTACTAAAAGGAAAAGGAGACTCGATAACAGATGGTGCAGAGAAGGCTGAAGTATTTAGTGCCTCCTTTATTTCAGTCTTCACAAAAAAGATTAAAGGAGAACACCTTTACCTAACCACCTGATAGCAATATGTAAATGGCTCCAATAACTACAATAACAATAAAACATATGACAGTTTTCTAACTGAATTTAAACTGAAGGTTGCAGACTTGTGCTTTAAAACATGGAAAGTGCGCTGTGGTATGAAAATTTAGGACAGACAAAAGCTCTGTTTCTGACTGGTGGACGATTTCTATAAGCTACCTTGTAGAAAGAGTCTTTGTCATCAAGCTACTGCCATTTTTCAGTACCTTTAGGCTAATCCAAGAAGCAGGGTGCTGGAACAAAGACAAATCATTATGGAAGTCTGTCAGCAAAAATCTCATTGAAGCAAGTTTCCTTTGTAGCTTATGTGCTGAACTTAATGTTGAAGATAGCCAGCTTCCCAGAAAATGAAACTGATGCAAACCTAAATCCATCTCCAAATGCTGACTATGAATTGGAAATAGATTATAAAAGAAGTTCAGTTCTTGATGCCAGCATGCTGCATATGTCTTGCAGTAACAATAAGAACTTCAAAATCAATGAGTTTCAGTAAAATTTTGGGCAACTGTCATATTTGAAAAATTGTATTCAGTTGCACCTATTTGGCAAGTAACCCACACTAAACTAATGGGCTAGGGACAGACATTAAATATAAACCAGTTTAAGTGATCAGAAACTGGTTTAAACTCATTTAAAGACATTCAGTGCACATAAGCCAGTTTGAAAATGGCTGAAACCAGTTTGAGATAAACCTGGTTTAATGTAGCATCAGACTTAACTGATTTGGCTCAAGCCAGTTTATGCATCGTCTGTCCCAAACCCCTAGCTGGTTTAAGTTAAACCACACTCCCCCAGCATCCCAGTATACTCTCTGGGCTGGGCAGGGCTCTGCTCTCTGCTCTGGGCTGGCCCCTCCCCTCTGCTCTCTAGCCAGAGCAGGGGCAAGGCATGGCCAGATGCTACCATGGCCCCTGAGCTAAATTCCTCCCTCTGTCCCCTCTTTCTCCACTGGCAAACCCTGTGGACTGCAGCTGGGGTTTGCCAGCCCCAGCCACACCTCCACGGCTTGCCTGCAGCCAGGCAGGGATGGAGTTAATTCCTCCCTGTCCCCACTCTCCCCTGGAACCCCGGGGGTTTGGCTTCAGTCTCAATCATCTCTCATATGTGCTGGAGATGTAGTTAAGGGAAGTTGCAGACAGCTTCACCAAAGAATGTAGAGAGCTACATTTATATAAAGCAGAACCTGTAAAAAGTGAGAATACCTAAATAAAGCCTTTCTGAATGCCTGGCTGTAAGGAGACACAGGATTATGTAAGATTTATGCAAAGCTTTCTCTTGTCTTCCTCATTTACATTTTAAGTTTGATCAAGTTGCGTACGCTGTGTTTTACTGGGCTGTATCTTAGCATAGGCAAAGATTTTTAGTAGTTCCTTGTTGTATGCTTTGCAAATTGTTGTGTTCAGTATATGTTTGCTTCAGAGAGAGGACTTTTCTCCCACCCCTACTCCTCAGTCTGGCAGCAGCTTCCCCCCTCCTCCCCCGATGGTGGCTGGCATCCCCTGTGTCCTGCTAGCTCCAGCTGGTGCCTGGTCATGTCTCCTCTGCTCCAGGAGGGATGGGTGAGAGCCTTAGAGGGCTTTTTTCTTGCCTCCCCTTTGGCAGTGACCGGCAGGTATGCTCTAGCATCTGTGCCTTGGCTTGAGCCGCTGCAGGCGTGTGGCTGCATTTCCTGGTTTAACAAAGAATGTCTGTTCAGTTATTAATCAATTTAAGCTGAGCAGCTTAGACTAACCTGCAAAGAGTGAATCAATTCAGGCTCAGGATTTTTGACGGTCTGTCCCTATCCATTATAATCATCTGAGGATGTGAGCTATTTAAGTATTTAGTTTTGAGTAAGAGTACTTCATCTGAGAAGCAGGTTATAAATGAAAATAGAGCACTTATTTTTCTCAACTTAGTACTGATGAGGCATTGGCTGGAATTCTGTTTCCAGTTTTGGGCACCACTCTTTAGGAAAGATGTAGACAAATATTAAAAAGTCCAGAGGAGCTTAACAAAGATGAAAATAAATTTAGAAAACATAAACTGGGATGAAAAGCTGGAGGAATTGGGTTTGCTCAGTCTAGAACAAAGCATGAGGGCTTTTCTATAATGCTGAGGTGGGCGCTTCCAGCAAGGATCTAGAAATTCACCAATCAGCTACTGAGCTCATCCTTAGCACCCCTTCTTAAGTTGTTTGTCTCTGGCAGGTGACCTTTTTGAGGTTCCTTCCAGTCTTACATTTTAACATTTGTACACCGCACGTCAAATGGATGACATTAATGAAGCATTTTATATTTCTGTGGTCATCTCATCATTAAGTGTCTCTCTCATTTTATTTTTATACATCTTTCTTTAGCCCTTTCTTTGGTAATTGTGTGCCTAACCAGATCTGAGTAAACAGTCCTTAGGCCTTTTATTCCATGGGAAGCTTTCTGTTCCCCAACTTTAATTTCTTGCCTTTTTTTCTATTTTTAGAGTAATACCGAGCTGGAAGTGGAGTTCATAATGAATGAAATGTAAGACCTCAGAAGTGGATGAGGGAGGAAAAACTGTTTTTGTGGGGCACTTTGGGCTAAAAGATGTGTATCAGTAGTAGGCTTACAAGGAATGTGTCATCATTAGCTTGCTGACACTTTAGTGCATGCTGATATAATTATTTTTGATGATGTAGCATGACCTAATGTGGAGGCACAGAAACCAATCAAAGTCCAAATATGAAACAAAACAGTTGAGGACAGAATATATCAGGTTGTCTATAATGCTGTAAGTCATAGAATTATAGAATCATGGAAAAGCAGAACTGGAAGGGACCTCTAGAGACCATCTAATCCAAACATTGCCTAAGGCAGGATTGTTCCTAGCCAAACCATTCCAAGCAAATCCTAGTTTAACGTGTTACTAAAACTACACGGGCAACCCTGCCACACAACAACAAAGCACCATACCCTAACTTGCCACAGCTAAATTAGGGAACAATGGAATCCAATGTCCTCCTGCTGCAAAGGTTGTTAAAATCCTTGCTTTCTAAAAAGAATACTTTACATTTGCATGGTTGGGGATGATTTTTAAAAAAACAAACACATGGGCTTTTGCACAATAGATATCTTCTCCTTGCAGCTCTTTCTTGATGATTGAGTTTTGAAATGCTGAAATGTAGAGCAAGAAAGGAGGCATTTGCAGTGCAGCAGCAAGTAGGCAGGCAAAGGCCACATTTAGGCTGTGTATTACCCATGGTCTTTCTTTAAGGTAAAACCATTTTACCCCATATAGCAGCACTACTTGCTGTCCAAATGCAATGGAACTTCTCCCAACTATAGTGCATACAGAATGTATCCATGTTAAGCATGTCTGTATTTGAGGACATATAGGGACTTGGAATAAGAGCAAACAGTTTGGAGGCCTGGAGTGGTTGTTTGAAATAGTGAGCAGATTGGAACGATCAGTAAAGGAGTAAGGGGAGTCAAATGTATGGGTATGACCTGTGCTTACATGTGTAAAATAACACTCAGGTGCCTGTTTTTCCAGCACTAATGATCTTTTAAAGGCCAGAATGAAGGTGCAGTCATGGTGCTTTGCAGAGGTGTGTGTGGGTGTGTGTGTGGGGGGGGGGGGGTCCAATTCATCTTCCTCACGCTCCAGCACCAGCTGAAAAAACCCCAGATGGAACTCCCTCGACTCCTTTCTTCCCCTCCTTTTTTGAAGACAGTGCTAGTAGCAGGGTTTCCTGCCCCTGGTGCATGTGGACACAAGTTAATGAAGGCGGTCTGCTTTGGAGCACCTACGTCTGAACCCTCATGTAATGAGGATTCAGATTGTTGCAGGATTGGGCCCTTCTAAAGTGCTTTGCAGCCATGCACTTCTGTAAGGGCACAGCTGTAGAGCACTTTGTCGCGTGATGGGTCCCTTGAAATATAACTTTTGTCTGTGACTTGAGTTGTTTGTATACAATGCATGGGGAGTCAAGCCTTTTGTGTCTCAGACAAGTCAGGTTCTTTCTTAGCACACATTCTTACGTGTTACTTTCTCAACACCAAATTGCCCTCGCATATTTTATGTCATAAGAGATGAAAGAAACAGAATTAACATTATTAAAAGAATATAGAATGATATCTCTAAAATGGCAATGCTGCTGAATTCTGTTTGCTATTTTTAATGAGCTCATAACTGATTATAGAATTATTTTATACACTCATAGGACTGGAAGAGGCCTTGGATCCTCTAATCCATATCTCTGCACATATGCAGGATTCCTAATCTATTCCAGATAGATTCCTATCCAGCCTCTCCTTGAAAATCTCTGTCAGAGAGATTTTGTGACTTCTGTACACACATTATTCCATTGTCCTGTTCTTACAGTTAGGAAGTTCTTCCATACAGCAGACAATTCTCACTTCATTAAAAAGCAAAATAAGAGTGGTTGAAGTTTGTAATGCATTTGGCCTGTTGTGAAAAATGTTCTTTCCCTCCAGATTGGACCCTCCAGAAAACCTCATTACGAATGGCATCCTAGTGGTAATATTTACATTTTTGATTGATATCTTGTCTCCTCTCATTCTTTCTGAAATACATTGTAAAAAAAAATGTACTTTTGCCTAGAAGGAATGAGTGATTTACAGTGATGGCATCCTGGGGGTTAAACTTGAAAGAGATGAAGAGAAATATCTTGCTTATACAACATTTCAGTGGAGTAATGGCGGGTCTCACCCCTATCTCTTGGACAGAAGAGTTTCTATCAGAACTCATTGTGTCTGGCTTTATCCATTTATTTTTTACTACTTATATTTTTAGTTACATGTCAGACTTTTTATCATGATGCTTTCCAGTCATATCAATGATTTTGTTGTCAATATATCATGAATTTGCCTAGGAAACAGCAGACGGTCTGAGCAGCTACCAGAACATGAAAGATGTATTATATTACGTGATAAAATGACATAATTTTAGAGGACAGTGTATTATTAGCTGTCCGAAGTTGTTCTAAATATGGAATGCAGTTAGGTTCAAGATACTAAATGCCAAGGGGGTGGTTCCATTTCAATAGGTAACATTCTCAGTAACTTGCATCCCTTTTTAAAAATTGTTTGTCACAGAGCCGTCCACTTTCCTGTTTAGAAGTTTCTGTGACCAAGGAAAGGAGTCCAAAGTGTTTAGAAGGTGTGTATCTCTGCAGACCAATGTGAAAATGATATTATACTTCACTAGAGAAAGGCTCCCTTGTTTTTAAGGATTGTTTTTAAATAGTAATTATGGTATCAATGATGTGTGTATATGTGCATGTGTAGGGGAGAGAGAGAGAGAGAGAGACGTTCTTCGTTGCTTTTCCATATTAACGCCACTGTCTCTATCCCCTTTTGAAATAGCATCAAACATACCTTTTAGCAGGAAATTAAATGTTTGCTTTCCAGATTGACAAAAGTTTTCATTTTTAAGTAATGCAGATCTATTGCAGAGATACAGTGGTATCTGAATTCATACCTTGAATTTTTACTTGTTTAAATTACCATTACTTGTAATCACTTTCATGACATTTCATATTTTGACATACTATGGGGGAAACCCCCCCCCCCCGAAGTCTTTTTAACTTGCACAATCTCTCTTTTCATTTGTGAAAAACTTCACAGAGCCCTCTGGAGGAACTTTTCTGTGTATGAAGATGGAAAAATACTTATCTGATAGATGGGCTTTGGGAGATATGTCAATCATAGTTTCATAGTGCCAAAGGCCAATGAGGGCTTGTTAGGGGCATAGATACTTAGCTTATAGACTTATGACGAATTTTTTCTTTACCTTCCTCCATCATTTTGGCTGTTATCACTGTTATCATAGACTCATAGAAAATGAGGGTGGAAGGGACCTCAGGAGATCATCTAGTCCAACCCCCTGCTGAAAGCAGGACCATCCCCAACTATATCATCCTAGCCAAGGCTTTGTCTAGCCAGGTCTTAAAAACTTCCAAGGATGGAGAGACCACCACTTCTCTGGGTAACCTGTTCCAGTGTTTTACTACCCTCCTAGTAAGAGAGTTTTTCCTAATATCTAACCTCAACTTTCCTTGCTGCAACTTGAGACCATTGCTCCTTGTTCTGTCATCTGCCATCACTAAGAACATTCTCCATGTTTGTTTGACTTATATCTGCAGGAGAAGATAAGCTTGAGCTTAGAGTGAAAGGGTCATATGAAGAAACGCAGAAAACCGTACTGGACTCTGGCTTAGTGGAATCTTTCTTCTTCCGCTACCCTGCATACTGGGAACCAGAACTGAATGCCCATCTGCAGGTAACATATTTACTACTTAAAAATTCCTCCTCTGATTTACCACTAGCCTATATATAGACAGAGGCATTCTATAAAATTCTTGGTGACAAAAAGGTGTGAGAGTCAAACAACTGTAGTCTTTTACCCCAGATAGGTTTGGTGGAAGCTTACCTAAATTAATTTGCTGTCAATTTTTGTATAGTTTTTGTTTATAAATAATTATATACATTTTAATTGGTAGTGTTGGAGAGTTGTTGTAGCTGTGATGGTCCAGGAAACAGGCTGGAGGCCAGGATTTTTTGGGTGCTATTTTTTAGTGAACCAATTGCATGGCTGGGCTACAGGTGGACAACTTTTCGAATCCAGTTCATTCTTCATCAGGTTGTGTGTAATAAAGAAGAATTCACTGCATTCTACATTTTCTTTATTATTTAGTACTTTATAATAAAATTTGTTTTGTTTCAATAGTAATAATAATAGAACACAATTTTATTAAGGACCTTTGGATCCATTAACAGAAGGATGTCATATGTGAATTCAAGATGATTTTTTCATTTCCAATGCATTTTGCTTATGGTCATAATGCATTAAATTTTTCAGCACTGGTCAAGTGATGATGGGGGGGATGGAAATAACTCCACTGCATCCTTGATTATGCCTCTGAAATTACTTCATATGGGACAGGAAGTGAAAGTAATTCTTCCTATAGTACATGTAAGTGCTTCACCTTTTTAACTGACTACTCCTTGTAGGTTGCTGCCTGTTACAATTCTTTAGTTCACACATGGTAATTTGGAAAGAGCTGTGTCACATATAAAGGAGGCTAAGAGATTATTGAAGGTATCCTGATAAATCTTTATGGACAATACAGTGTCTAGGGTGGTTTAGTTGGGAACGATCCTGAATAATCCTTTAATAGGGAGTTGGACTAGATCAGGGGTGTCAAAAACATGACCTCTGGGCTGGATCTAACTTGCAGAGCTTCTCCATCTGGACCTTGTTGGGCCAGGATGTTTGGGGTCATACCTAGTGGTGGACATGGCCTGCTGCAGAATCCATACCACACCTTACCCCGGGGCCCCAGAAGATGTGACTGCTGGCAAGTGAAGGCTGTGTGATATAGCCCTCAGTTACCCTGTGGCCACCTGGCCTCACCACTGTCTGCATGCCTCCAACATGGCAAGCTGCATCTTAGTCCATAGCTGCTTGTCCCACTGCCCCACTCCACCATCCTTATTAAACTGTAAGATCTTTGTTAAAAACAATTAAGTTACCTGAACTTGACTATGATAACTTTTCCAAACCAGTGACAAGTTAGGTAAGTGTTAGAGAGGCGGGCTCCAGCATAATATCTCATCTCTTGAGAGATTTTCCATTTTTACTGTGAGCTCTCTTCTTTTTCCAACATATTAAAAGAAATCATAATGTATGCATCAGAGCATCTAACTTGAACTTGACCACAAAGTCTTTGCTCCATCTGCAATAGTGTTAGTTAGTTTTTAACTACTTGTTTTCCCAGCGCTGTACCATCTTGATAAACTGGAATTGTTTAGTTCAGTGGTTGGCAACTTAGTCTTTGGGCTGGATCTGGCTGGTGAAGGTTCAGTGCAGCACAGGGGCTCTGTGGTACAGAGCTGTGCCATGCCACACAGTCCCTTTGCATCTCTCACTGCTGCCCTGCAGCATTTGCACTTCCCTTGCTACAGAGGGGGCAGGTATCTGCAGTGAGGGTGAATACAGGCAGCTGACTGCTCTGCGGAGCATAAACTTCTGGCCTGCAGCCACAGCCAGGTGGCAAGCTCTGGCCTGTGTAGGCAAAAGGATGACAACCCCAGGTTTAGATCCTCAATGTCAAAACTTCCACCCTGACTCACAAGGGCAGCAGAAGGGAAGTCAGGAAGGCAAAAAGCCAGCAGAAACATAACTGGCCAGGACGCTGTCCTGGCCAATCCTTCCTTCCCTTGTACCTTCTTTTCAGGGTCCAGGGTGTGGTAGAGAGCAACACACAGGGGCAGAGGCTGCAGTTTGCTACTGTTGCTGAGGGGAGATGTCTTCTTAATTTTTGCCACAGACACCCATGTCAAGCAGTCAAAAAAGCACTTGTTTTCAGAGGCAAAAAAATGGAGTGACCTCCCCCCAGCAGCTGCAAACTCCACTGCTGCTCCGGAGTAACATTTCCCAGAATGCCTTGCACTTACTGTCACGTGCTTCTGTACCACTGCCTCTATTTTCCTGCCAGAGCAGAAGCTGGAAGGTTTCAGAAGAGGGAGCAGGGACAAGAGGGTGAGGGGGCCTGCCTCCCTATAGACAGTGCCTAGGTTCATGCCTGCCCATCCTTATGGTCCTGAAAGGCAGTCAGAAATGACAATGATAGCGTTATTGTGGTTTAAGCACTCTGACCCATGTTCCAAAAAGGAAGTCCTTTAAGCTGTTTTGTCTGGCAACGTTACCAAAGTTTGCTAATGATACTGTATGAAAAATTAAATGTGGATACTGAGGCATGTATCTACACTGCTTCTGTCCCATTCTTGAGGCTACTACTGAAGAGCACAGCCCTGCCCATCCAGTCTCACTCTCACTGCGCAAACCCAGAAACAAGGTGGTGTAGATGCTTTGGACTTGGTGTCAAAATCTCGGCGTTCAGTTTATTTGGGAGTGGTTGTGGGGACATGTCCAGAGTGGCTTTACTATCACATTATTAGGTTAGATGCATACAAGTAGGAAGAAGTATGTGGCGGCTACGTGAGTGCTGGAGATGGGGTGTAGACGTTAGGGGTGTGCAAAGAGGGCCCTATTCGATTCAGATTTGGCCTGAATCAGGGACAGTGATTCAATTAATTGATTCAGATCACTGTCTCTGATTTGATTCAGCTGAATCCAAATCTGAAGATTCGAAGCTGATTCAGAGAATTAGTGATTTGGACATAGACACAGCTTTAAAAGTTTTTTCTACATACCTCGCGATACCAGGCGCAGCTCATGATTGCTGTGATGCTGGAGTGTGTGGAGCATCCCACAGGAGTGCTGGGGCAGGCCCTCCGTGTACTCGGCAGCAAACGTGGAAGTGGACTAGAAGTACTTTCGGATCTGCCGGGGAGTGCACTGGGGGGCCTCCCCGCACCTCCCCCTGGCTCGGCAATTGGCCGCAGGGGGGCCCCCGGCGGC